TTTACTAAGGATCCATAGTTTCATGCTGTTTATCCATTGAATGTACATTTGCCTGCCATTGTTACTATGACACTCATAACTGCAGTATATGCCACATTCCAGGTCCACCATTACCATTTTACCTGTGACTACTCTTTCACTTTATCCTTTTGCAATATAGAAGTTCATTTCTATTTCATATATTTCCATCCTCTAATATTTTGCCTGCATAGATCCTTCAGGCTAGATTGCTGTTTTCTCATTTTGTGCCTGTGAATTCTATTCATTTTTTTCAAGGAAGACCCAAATGAAATGGCACCTTTTATCCCAAACTTTCTCTGTAATGATTCCAATCAAAAGAATCAGGCTGCCTAAGCTCCACGAAGAGATCTATGCAGCTTTTAATTGACACGTGTTCTGTCTTAGTTGGTGCTTCTGTCATTGTGACAAAACACCAGGACCAAAAGCACCTCGGGAAGGCAAACGCTGATTTTGCCCACACTTACAGTTGTAAGCAGTCCAACACGGATGTAAGGCAGAGGAGGAGCTCAAAGAAGGAACGTGGAGGCTGGGACTCATGCAAAGGCCATGGAGAAATGTTTACTGCTTTGCTTCCCATGGCTTACTCAGCTTGCTTTCTTATAGCACCCAAGACTGCCAGCTTGGGGATGGCCTCATGTACAATGAGCTGGCCCTCCCACAGCAATCTTCAATCAAGAAAATGCCCTTCAGACTTGGCTACAGGCCAAGCCTATGGGGATGTTTTCTCAATTAAGATTCCTTCTTCCCAGATGACAATAACTTATGTTAAGTTGATAAAAAAAGTAGCCAACACTCATGTTCTCCCTGCTTGCTTTCTTGCTTTCTTCTCCCTCCCTCACTCTCTTCCTACTCCCTCCCTCCTCTCTGCCCATGGATCAGGATGTAATGGTCTTAGCTACTGTTCCAGTGCAATGCTTGTCTTGTTGCTATGATGATGATGGACTAACCCTCTGAAGCTGGAAGCAAGCCTCCAATTAAATTGCATTCATTTATAAGTGTTGTCTTGGCCAGTCTAAATGAAATTACCAATTAACAGGGGAGACAGAGCCCCAACTGGACATTTCTTGCCACCAAATGAAGCTTCTTGTACCAGGAATCAGTTACATCTGAATTGTTGGCCAAAGAAGTCCCAGTGGGAGCCCCCAAACAACCACTACACAAACTGATAGCAAAACCCTATTGCTGAAGACAAAAAACAAAAACAAAAACAAATACTACTGTCCTACTAAGGGAATGCAACAATAAAACAACTCTTAATGATATCCTGCTATACTCATACATCAGTGCTTTGCTCAGCCTCCATTGGTGAAGTTTCCTCCTGCAGTGGGTGGGAACAAATACTGAGACCCACAGCGAGACATACAAAATGTGAGAGCCCTTGGAACACTCAGCCCTAAATGAGGTATCTCCATCAAACCCCTCTCCTTAGAGCTAGAACCCTGTGGAATAGGAGGCAGAAAGAGTGTAAAATCCAGAGGGGATGGAGGCCACTATGAGCTTCTAAACACAGGAGGTCTGATGCACATATGAACAAACCTATAGAGACTGAGGCAATGTACTATATTTTTTCCAGTGTATCTTTTTTGGCATCTTTGTTGAGTATTAAAATGGCCGTAGTTCTGTGTGCTTATGTTCAGATCTTCATTTTGTTCCGGTGGTATACATGTCTGTGTTGTGACACTCCCATGCTGTTTTTATTATTTTGGCTCTAATACTGATATATTGAGATCTGGAATGATAACCTCCTGCATTGTTCGTGATTGATTTGGCTTAACACTCTATTTGTAAGGTTTCCCTTGAGTTTCCTAGTTGTGTTGTTCAGTTTTTAAATTCTATCTTCATTTTATATTGAGTGGTCTTCAATCTTTTTCTTAATTTAATTGCAATTTCAAATCCTGCATTATCTTTGTTAGTTTATTCAGCCTCATGTTTGTCTTTCTTTGAGTAATACTTAGGCCTTTATTCTCTTTGAGTTAATTCCCTTTAAGTTCACTGAGCTGTTTGTTTCTGTTTTCTTTAAACTCTTTATGATTTTTTTTAAAGTTCTATATCCTGGGATCAACCTATGTAATTGTCCGTACATAAAATTTCTATAGGACAGGTAGATTGGGGGTGGGTAGATGGGCAGTGCATACAATTTTGAATTTTCATATTATTTTGCAATGAGACTTGGGCATATGGACTTCTTGTTTTGGTTGTGTGCTTGATGTGGACACAGAAGGTTTGGCTGGTACACAGGATTTGCTACTTAGTACAGGCTGGCAGTTTTTTAAAAAAGTGCAGGTATGTCTCACCAGGCTGTGCCCAGTTCCTGGTTGTGGGAGCTAAGTTGGGTCTGGAAATTGAGAAGAATTCAGGAAGGGTAGGGTCAGGCATACTCACCAAGCTGGGCCATAGAACAGGATGTATGGGCCTGTCTGGCCCTGAAGTATGGATCATGACCAAACATCCATAGGGACAACTGGAATTGGAAAGAGTTGTGCCAGCAAACCTAAGTATGTTACCTGTGTTTCTACAGCACACAGACAGGCTCGAGGGTCCCGGGCAGGGAATGGATTTGGGGATGATGAGTCTTAAAAGGAAGAGAAGGGACAGGAAAAAGTCATTATCCTTGGCAAGCACCTGCAAGGCTACCCGAGTTGTGTGTGTGTGTGTGTGTGTGTGTGTGTGTGTGTGTGTGTGTGTGTGTGTGTGTGTGTGTGTGTGGGTTGTCTGTGCAAGAGAAAAAAAACGTAAGTTACATGTGTCTTCATATGAGCTTGATAGAAAGTTCCTTGGAGTGAGGGTTTCAGTGTCTGTATGTGTCCAAGGGAGAAAGAAAGGCCAAGAGAAGATCACAATCCCAGAAAAGCATCCACAATTCAACCAGGGTAGGGAAGGACCTGGTTTGGTTACACAAGTAGATTACCTATGTCTCTGCTATAAGTGGGCTGGCTAGTGGGTCCTGGCAGTGAGAATTCCACTGTTTCATGAGTCTCAAAGGGAAGAAGAGGATCTGGGAGCAGGTCTTGTTGCTATCTTTATTTGACTGATTATAGACTAGGAATGCTTTTGTCCCCTTAATAGGCCATTAATCATATTATACTTATAAGATGGCATATGCTAATGATGCTATTTTAATCTTAGTAACCAGTATTATGCCTTAGAACACACACATAGTACTTGTGAGTTTTTTGTAACAATGTCTGGATCATTGTGGTGAAGGAGAGAATCATGGCTGAGCTATTGGGCAGAGTGTGGCAGTATACTGTCATTTGTTGGCTGCTCATCATGTGCCACATAGCTTGGGAACTTTACCTGTAACTCATTTAATACCTACCACATGACATGTGAAGTAGGTGGTATTATTTCCACATTAGTACTAAGTCAAATCTGAGAAGTAAGTTAATCAGATAATGGCACTTTCTTGATATTTAAAATTTTAAGAATCCCTTTACGGCTGAGGATGAAAGACTTAACTCATTGCAGCATCTCAGCTGCGTGTTGATCTTTTCCAAAATCCCTAGATTCATTTAGGTCCTTCTCCGTCTTTCAGATTCAGCCATGCCAATCTGTCTTTAGTTGTTCCTTTAATTTGTTGTGTCTTTCTTCTCTAGGGCCTTTGTTTATGCCATTCTCACTACCTGGACTGTTTTTCCTTGTTGCTCTGTACTCAGCGACAGAGGACAAGTGATCAATAAATATTTGTTGGACCTATTTGTGTGTGTTTGCTACTTAGTGCATACTCATTAAATATAGTAAAATGTAAATTTAATTGTTAGTATTATCCAAAGGCAAAAATCTAGTGAAGGGCAGAACTACCATGTATACCCAGGTATGAGTTTAAAGTGCATGTTCTTTCATGATGTGTTTCTGCCTGTACAAGTGGGTTCTTGACCCAACACTCACTCAACTTGCTCCATGAATCAAGGTAAGATATCACTCTCATTATTAGTTTCCCATCTCTAAATTGGAATAGAAGTAGGCAGAGTTCCAGATGTTCTGTGTGTAATCTAGAAGATCTTGAGAATAGAAGTCTAGACAGGAAGGGGTCTAGATAAATAATTTTCCAATAAAACTAAATGTTGTTCCTGTATAAGACAGGTCAATAGCTATATCAAGAGTTCTTCATACTCAAAGCTAAAGTAGTGTAGTGTGTAATATGCAGGTATTGTAGTTATTCTGCATCACTATGTCACTGTTCCTGACATAAGGGGAAATTTTTATATCAGCTAGCCGTGCTACATGGTATGAGAGCCATTGTCTACAAGTTTAAAGTAAAATTCATTAAAACTAATATAATTTATAATTCAATCCCTTAGTTATAGTAGCCACATTACATGTGCCCAATAGGCTATATGAGCTATTTGGAAAGCACACATACAAAACATTTTAGTCCCCGCAGAAAGTTTATTGAACATTGCCTCTCCAGAATTCCTCTGTAGGTCACTGTTGCTAGCTATCTTTGATAGGAGTGGTTTGTGATGGGAGACTCTTACTTGCAGTGAGAGGCTATTCAGCATCTCTGGCCCCTATCCATTAAAGGCCAATAGTGTTCTTCATTGACTCAGTCCCACAGCTGGGACCTGCACCCTCCTTTGCAAATATCCTGAGACAATAAAATTTACCTCACTTGTGACTCACTGAGCTTTTCTGTTTAAAAAGAATCTCCTATCTCTTCCTGGGATGGCTCTGATCATCTCTGTCTGCTAGAAAGGGTTAGAAAGATGGCATAGAAGGAAAGGCCTGACTCTGCCTCCCATTTCTATCTTCCACCATCCTCCTATTGGCCTGTGTCCTGCTCTTGAGAAATTTCAGGAACAGTACTCTGTAGATGGAAACGATAAGGCCCATTTGAAGGTCTGGTTGAAGTTTGAGGCTCTGGTTGTACCTGACTGTGAAAGAAAGAGTTAGAAAGATAGCTTAGAAGGAAAGGCCTAACTCTGCTTTGCATTTCTTTCTTCCTCCAACCTCCTACTGGCCTGTTTCCTACTCTTGAGAAATTTCAGGAACAAGACTTTGCAGATGGAAAAGATCAAGGCCCGTTTGAAGGCTGAGTTTGAGGCACTGGAGTCAGAAGAGAGGCACCTAAAAGAATACAAACAGGAGATGGATCTCCTGCTACAGGAGAAGATGGCCCATGTGGAGGAACTCCGACTGATCCATGCTGATATCAATGTGGTATGTGGCTTGTTGCCTGGAGCCTACTTCTGGGCCCTTTAAGGATGAGGGAATAGAAAATGTTGTTACCTTTCACTTAGATATTGCTGTGGCCAGCTCAGGGGAGAAGGTGCCAAGCTATTATGGAGTAGACAATTCCAGGAGTTCTGAGGCCAGCTCTGGTTGTGTCACTGACTAACAGCAATGGACAAGTCCTTCATTTCTGAGTATCATTGTCTCTCCCTGTATTATGAACCCTGACCTTCAAGGGTTCATTGGGTTCTGACATGTTCACAGTCTGGAAGTCTGTAGCTTAAGACGTAGCCAAGGAAAAGTGGACTAGATGCCTGCCTCTTGAGGATAACTTTACATGCTCAAAAGCTTCCAACAAGACCAAATAGATCATCTCAATCTGCTTACCAAAGTGGGGCTCTCACATTAGACTGCCATTTGGAATATTGGGAATAAATTGCTGAGCTGACAAACTTCCCTTGTTTGGAGTTTTTTTGTCAAGAATCTAGGCTTCTCTACTGGTTATTCTTTTATCAGGAAGTAGGAAGTGTTTACCTGTGAGGTCTTTTCTGAACATTACAGTCTATGACAGTATCTTTTTTTAAAAAATTCATTTTGATGGAGCTGAGTTTCTATTCTTGGCAAACTCATTTCTGTGGGATCACCCCTTTCCAGAATATTGTGAGGCCTAGAATCCTTACAAAATATATAAATTAAGCTTGTATAATAAACTCTTGGGGTTTCATGTGCTAGATAGCATCAGATTCCAGGTCTCCTGAAGGGAACTGTAGACGTTACTGCAAGCTAACTGATGATATAAAATCAATAGAATGAATCATGCATTTCCAAGAGTGGTTGAGAATCCAGGCCAGTAGACCTCAAAGCATGAGGGTCAACTAGAGAGCCCATTAGAACACAAACTGTTGAACTTCACTCCAGAGTTTCCAGTTATACCTGTTAGGTAAGGGCTTGAGAATGTAAAATTCTTAGTTCTTAAATGATAATGCTGCAGCTGCAGCTGCTGGTAGGGGGTGTGGATAGGGGTAGCAGGGTGCAAGTGTGACAACCACAGTTTGAAAACAGTTGACCTAGAGAAAAATGTAACTGGCATGAAGACACGAGCCTTTAGTTTTTGTATGGGTTTTGTCCATTAAGAAGTATTCCAGTGAATAAATCCTTTGTTCTGAGCTTCAGCGTACTGGCCTTGAAAAGTGAAGATGATGATCTAGATGAGGTGAGCTAGGTGGTCTCTGAAGGCAATTCCAGCTGCAAGGTGTTGTTAATTTGAGGAATTTAACCACTATTTTATGAGTTTTTACCCTGTTAATTCCTCTATTAATTGTTTTGCATGAATTTGATAATCGAATCTTTACTAAGACTGCACGGGGTATGCACTATTAACCTTTCCCTATCATAGTGATGAAGAAACTGAGGTTTGATCAGTCATGTAGAAAAGACACAGAGAACTTGAACATAGATCGCTTTCCCTCTGGAGTCTGTGCTATTATCTGTTCAGCTCTAGAACTCCTTTGAAGACTTTGGGACCTTTTCTGTTTCTACCTTGCTCTATTTTCCAGATGGAAAACACCATTAAACAGTCTGAAAATGACTTAAACAAGTTGCTCGAGTCGACCCGGAGGCTTCATGATGAGTATAAACCACTGAAAGAACATGTCGATGCCCTGCGTATGACATTGGGCTTGCAAAGGCTTCCTGACTTGTGTGAAGAGGAAGAGAAACTCTCCTTGGAGTAAGCTGCCTGCCCTCTGACCCCAAAATAACACAATGTAATAGAAATGAGGGGGTGAGGGTGGAAGGTGACACAGATGGACATGGATATGTACACGACCTGAAAGTCTGAGCACATAGTCCTATTCTTAGGCTTGTCAGTGGATAATTCTTTGCATGACCCACAAGTCTCTATGCTGACATATTATATAAGAACAAGATGAGACGAAGATTAATAGGTAACCTTTCAAAATACTTTGTGGATTTTTTGACAATGTGAGAATGTTATCGTTGCACTGGCATGATGGCTCAGGGAGTAAAAATGGCTTTCCTCCACCCCTGAGGAGCTGAGTTCAGTTTTTGGGACCCACATGGTGGAAGGAGAGAATGAACCTCTGCAGGCTGTCTGTCCTATGACACGCTAGCATCATGTGCCTGCCTACCCATACACATGCGCAGATAAATTTAATATAACACTTAAAAATTGCTGACCTATGAATTTAAGAGGTCACTTTCCAAGTTAGGGTTTAGAAGAGTATACAGAAACCTTGAAAACATGAAAGGGCGTGCTTTTTTCTCTAGGACATAGCATGTCCTTTAATCTCAAGCCCAACAAGAGGAAGTATATCCTAAAGATACAGCTGGTTGCCCGTAGAAGTATGAGCTTCTTGTTCCTAGAAGGATATAAATACAGGCCTGGGAATGCCTATTAAGAATATTGCAAATGACCATCTAACAGAGAATAAGTCTAAATATCTTGCTAGCCCTAAGATTTCTTGATATCTGCATCTGTCAGAATTAACAAGAAAAATGTCTACCATTCCTACTGATAATGTACCTAGTGTTAGTATTCAGGCATCTGTACTGGCCTGCCCTTGGGGTTCTGACATGATATTTCCTCAGCTGCAGCCACTAAGAGCACCACCTGTGCACATTCATTATCTTCCCTTTTAAAAGGGCCCTGCCCACCTCCCATCCTTCTGTTTCTTTCTTTCCCTCTCTCTGTCTGTTCCCCTCTCTCACTCTCTCTCCCCCCTCTCTTCCTCTTTCTTTTCTCCTCTCCTGCTGCTGCTGTCTCCAGAGGACAGTCTCCCCGCTTCCCTTTCCCCTTTTATGATCCCTTTCCCTAATTAAAAAATCCTCTGCTTGAACCCTGTCACATGCATCTTTCTCTTATGAGCCTCTTTTCTTAAATTACAATACCTACTATTAAGGGGAAAGAGCCATGTACCATAGGGAGGGTAGTACCATTCATTATAGAGAAGGTCCTAGTACAATCTTTGGTTCCTTAGCATAGAGACTTTAAGAGGAGGAAAGGTTCTTCTTGCTTCCAGAATGATCCATTCAATGTCTTTCGTCCCCAAAGTTACTTTGAGAAGCAGAAAGCAGAATGGCAGACAGAACCTCAAGAACCCCCCATACCTGAATCCCTTGCTGCTGCAGCTGCTGCTGCCCAACAACTCCAAGTGGCCAGGAAGCAGGACACACGACAGACAGCCACCTTCAGACAGCAGCCTCCACCTATGAAGGTGAGTAAACTAGATTGGACCATGGAAGAGGCAAAGTGTCCTGCAATGGAAGCTGATAATATGCTATTTGAGGTTGTGGCCTTGTTTATTTTAATCTTACTTAAACAATGTTTGATTGGGACCCAGAGGATGGGATGCTATGTTGAATTCATGTTGCTTTTGTTGCTACAAAGAGATTAAAATACAGGAAGCTTGGCAGACACTGCTATAATATAATTATCTAAAGGTTAGAAAGCTAAACTTTACACAAATAGACAGGGAACATATCTCATGAGTGAGGGATCCAGCAGAATCACGAGGAAGATTCTAAGTACATTTGATAAACAGATGTTTACATGGTTGGAAACAAATGCTGAAATAAATTTGGAAATTTTTATGCTGAAATTATTACCTTTATTATTTCCTTTTCTTCCCAGTGGAATTAATTTGCATTCCTACTAGGCAAAAACTGTGGGTTATCAGTGAGGCATCACAGAATCAGGTCAGTAGTAAATAGCCAAACTGACATTTTACTAGAGTGATTGCCCAGTTGATGATAGCCTACAGGTAGAGTCTGACTTGTTATATATGCTTTAATTGATGATTTACTGGCGCACACACACATGCCAGGTGATTTGTGTGTTGTATCTTTTTTTCCGGTTTGGTTTGGGACAGGGTCTCTCTGTGTTGTCCTAGCTGTTCTGGGAACTCACTCTATAGACCAGGCTGGCCTCTAACACAGAGATCTCCCTGCCTCTGCCTCCTGAGTGCTGGGATTAAAGGCATATGCCACTACCTCCTACTTTTGTATTGTATCTTAACATAAAACAGAGTTGAATAATTGCAACAGACCACTTAACATGGAAAGTCTAATGTAATTATGAGCCACCACATGGCTCAGGTTGTCAAAACACTTACCATGTAAATGTGATGATCTGAGTTTGATTCCTGAATCCCATGGTGGAAGGAAAGAACCAACTCCCAAAAGCTATTCTAGGGGAGAACTACAAAGTTGTCCTCAGAACTCCACAGATGTGCACATGAGTACACATCACATATCTCACACATGCATATATATATATATATATATATATATATATATATATGTGTGTGTGTGTGTGTGTGTGTGTGTGTGTGTGTATTTAAAAATATTTTTAAATTCTATTCACTATCTTGGTCACTATAGAAAAATGCTTCCTAATTAGTCTTGTCTAAGAAAAATCAATGGTACATGGTTGAGCTAATAATGTTGTGATATAATGCTGCATAGATATGTAGTTCTTCTTTTATCTCTAAGTTTTACATACAGTTTTTTTTATACACGCCTCTGTATGTTATATCCTTCACTCCTATGGTCTATGGTCTCCAAGAGCACAATCTCTACTTGTATCTTACCGATAATTGTTGCCTCCAAATGGAAAATTACAATTGTTTTCTGGGCCCCTGAGGATCTGCAGTCTGAGCCATTGCGTAGAAGGATGTGACTACACTAACTTTATTTATCCCGTCTACCCCCACCAGGCCTGCTTGTCATGTCACCAGCAGATTCATCGAAATGCACCTATATGCCCTCTTTGTAAAGCCAAGAGTCGCTCACGGAACCCCAAAAAGCCAAAACGGAAGCAAGATGAATGAAGAGAAGGTGAAGGGCTAGACCTCTGTTGATCATAAACCCTCCCCTTGGTCAGAGTGATAGAGGTCCCGATTTTCTAAAATCTACCCTTCCTTGCCCTCCTGAGTTTCTATTTAATTTACTGGAAGAATAACCCCTCTCTCCTTGCTCTTATTTCTTTCTGCTCTTGGGATCTCGGGTTCAAGAACAGCTATAGTTTGGGTGCTAATGCCTGGGTCTCATGACCCCTTCTCTCCTGCTCACATCTCAACTACTGTCCTAGTTTGGAGCTGACTAAGGGGCAAAAGGCTCTCATTGACTCTTTCTTTTGCTCCTGAGGACTGGAGCCTAATGAGCTGCAGGGTGTAAGGACTGGAGGAGGTCCATATCTTGCTTTAAGAAAAGGCCTCTATGATTTCCTCCCCTCTAGTTTTGCCTTAGGTTCTGAAGGGACAACAACTTTATTTTTGCTGGACATCCCAGTGGGCTGAATGCATATATCTCCCCTATATTCAGCTCATCATTAAAGCCCAGGAGTAACTTAGACAAGTGTTCTTTTTTACAGTAATTTGTGAGGCTCTGGTGTTGTTCTATAGTCCCATCAAAGTCTTCCAGTTATATTCAAGTTCTTTCATACCAGGCATCTTTAGATCCCAAGATCTGTGGGTCTTTCCCTATACTTTTTTTTGTTCTTTGCTAATTAGTAGAAATTCCCCACAGTGAAATTAGGGAGCCAGGCTCATGCTACATGTCTCACCTAGTTCACTGCAAATACTAGGTCTGATGGCTATGGTATAGAAATTGCCTTGGGCTGAGAAACCCTTAGCTGATTTTAGCTTTGAATTTTGTTTAAAAACCATCACGCTAATACCTGCTCAGTGGTATATCACTGGGAGGCTAGAAGTGGATTGACACGATTGCCAATCATTTTATACATGTAAGAGGCTATGACTTTGCTTTTCCATTCTTTCCTCCCTTTGGGTCTGTATTCTTTAATGTAGCCTCAGTTAAGGAAGTCATTGGTCACTCTTTTTCTGTGGGTTATGTAGGTGACCTTTCTTACCCCCAAATGGCACTAAGCTCTTCAAACCCCACAGTGCTCTCATTTTTATCAAAGCCAAGTCTCCTAGTCATGTTACTCTTAGACCTATGGGATAACATCAGGGCTGAGTGATGAAAAAGATTTAGCTCCAGGTCTCTATCCCTGACTGGGGAGAAGAGGGAGAGATTTATCCTGTTTTTCTTTAACTTTTGACTTTGAGTCACAATAATATGTGTTCCAAACATCAAAGATTCCTCTGCCTTTTGAAAGTAAGTGTTATGATATGATTTCATAAATCCTTTTAAATAAACATTCATTTGTTGGAATAAGTGCTAATTGAGTGCATTCTGTGTACTGAACAACAGCAACAATAATAGAGAGGAAAAATGAAACAGGATTGAGTGGGCTACAGGGATGTGACCAGGAGCTGGGAGCATGTGGCTGGAGACAGATAGATAGATAGATGGCTGGAGCAAAGCTACCTGCAGTGGCTATAGTGGAAGTGCAGTCTAAGAACAGGACCCCAACGCTGAGACTCACTATGGTTTTACTAAGGAATATGGGGAAGATTGTGTCCATGCCACTACCTAAGTGAATGAAAACATGGGGGCATGGTAAAAGCAGACCCAAGCGAGGGAGCTAGGAGAACGAGAAGGGGAGAAGAGGAGGGATGCAGAGGACATGAGGGAGCAGAAAGGTTGAGTCAGGAGAAGAATAGAAGATAACAAGAATGGAGATACCATAATAGAGGGAGACATTTTAGGTTTACAGAGAAATCAGGCACTAGGGAAATGTCTGGAGAGCTACAAAGATGACACCAGCTAACAATCTAAGCAACAGAGGAGAGGCTGCCTTAAATGCCCTCCCCTGATAATGAGATTGATGACGGACTTATATGCCATCCTATAGCCCTCATCCAGCAGCTGGTGGAAGTAGAAGCAGACACCCACAACTAATCACTGAACTGAACTGGAATCCAGTTGCAGAGAAGGACGAGTGATGAGCAAAGGGGTCCAGACCAGGCTGGTGAAACTCACAGAAACAGCTGACCTGAACATCGGGGAACTTTTGCTCCCCAGACTGATAGCTGGAATACCAGCATGGGACTGATCCAGACCCCAGGAAGAAGGGTTTCAGTGAGGAAACCTCGGAAATCTACGGGACCTCCTATAGTTGTTCAGTACTTATCCCTAGCACAGGTGTGGATTTTGGGAGCCCATTCCACATAGAGGAATATTCCCTGAGCCAAGACACACGGGGGTGGGCCTAGGCCCTATCCCAAAGATTATGATAGACTCTGATGACACCCTATGGAAGGCCTCACTCTCCAGGTGGAGCTGAAAGGATATGTGATAGGTAGGGTTTTAGTTGGGGGGATGGTAGGGGAGGACAGGAGGGAGAAGGGAATTGGGATTGTCATGTAAAACAGTCTTGTTTCTAATTCAAATAAAAACAATCTGCAAAAAAAAGCAGACCCAAGTAATTACTTTAAGGCAGGAACTATGGCTCTCATAATCTTTCCACTCCTTCCTCTGTATTCCCTGAGCCATAGCTGCAGGAGCTGTGATGTTGATGCTTCTGTTGGGGGTGGGCTCCCTGCTAATCCACTGATTAGTGCACTGTGTTTAGTTGTTTTCTGTGATGTAAAGAGAGGCTTCATTGATTAGGATTCATTGATGTGGAGTGGTAGCTACACTGATCAGTGGGTATAAGGATTAGAATGTAGTAAGGAATTACGTTAGGCTACTTAAATGTTGGTACTAGATTTTTTTCTCAAGTCCATAACCTCACTAGCCCCAGGAAGGTGGCTAAGTTTCCAGTATTAGGCATGATTTTCCTCTGTTGAGTGGACCTTAAGTCCAATTAGACAGTTGTTAGTTGCCATCAACATATGAGTGCTACTTGTTGTACCTTTGTGCATAATTTTGCCATGTATCAATGCTCTCCTGTTCGACTCTTTGGATCACCAGCTCCGAAATATTGGTATGGTTATCCCACAGCATTGCCATGCTGGTGACTGTCATGGTTCATAGATTTTGCAGCTGGGTAGCACTTTCTAATTGCTTCCCTCTTGGCAGCTTGCGTAGTGTTTTCTGGAACCATTGAACCTAGCCAGCAGGGAAGAGTCTTTCAGGTCAGATCCAGTTTTAATCATTTGAATCCTGTGTCCTGTGTGTGTGGTGTTTTCAGTACCAGGGGCTCACCCTAAACTTCTGAAAGGCAAACAAGGGTTTTATCAATGATCTTTATTGTTTTTGGAGTCACGTTGACTACCTCACCAACCCTTCCAAGGGTTTGGTACCAGGTTTTTGTTAGCCTATGGTTCTTGTAGAGAACATTGTCAGACCAAGTAGCTTAATTTCCTTTAGTGTGTGTGTGTGTGTGTGTGTGTATCTGAATACATATGCTTATATGCATAGTGTGTAATTTTAAGTAAATACAAAATGATGACTCCTCAAAGCTTTATCAAACAACCATTGTGTTATTTGTCTCATGTTCCTCCTTTTTCTGTATTGACCTCCCTACTATCTCCTCAGTTGGAGGTCGTCACCATTCTTCTGTTTCCCACCACTTCATATCACCTGTATCCTGCTATTCCCCTTCCCCTACCCCCCCATGGTTCCTTTATACATACCTGGTTTCTGTAGTTAGTCCATGTTGTATGCTTACATCTGAGGATATGGAATAAGAAACTGCAGATGAAAGAAAACATGAGGCTTTGTGGTCTCTAGGTTCATCCATTTACCTGCAAATGACATGGTTTTACATTTCTTTACAGAGTAAAGAGTAGTACTATGTTGTGTTGAGTAGTATGTTGTGTATATGTAAAACATTTTTATTGTCCATTCATCTCTTACAGACTTTTAAATTGTTTCCATTTTCTAGCTATTGTGAATAGAGCAGCTATGAACATGGCTGAGCCCCAAGTATTTGTGGAGTAAGTTGTGTACTCCTTTGGGCATATGCCAAGGACTGGTAATTCTTGGTCATATAGTAGAGAATTCCTTTTTCCGTATAGCCTCCCTAGGACTTTGTCAGTTGTTTTGTTGATCTTAGTCACTCTGACTAAGGAGAGAGAAAGTCTCAGAGTTGTTTTAATTTGCAGTTCCCAGATTGCTAAGTATGATGAACACGTTCTTAGCCATTTTTATTTCTTATATTGAGAATTCTGTTTCAATCTAGAGCCTACTTCTAATGAGGTCATTTAGTTCCTTGAGGGTTTTTTTTTGTATATTCTACGTATTAATCCTTTGCCAAATCTGTAACTGGTCAAAGAACCTCTCCCATTCTATTAGTTTCTTCTTTACTCACTTGATTGTTGCTGTACATTGAGTATAGCCATTTGAGTGCTTCATGCATCAAGTTGAGGTCTGTGATCCACTTGGACCTATTTTTTGGGTAAGGCAATAGATTTGGGTCTAATTTCATTCTTTTATATGTGGACATCCAGTTCCCCAAGCCTTTGAAGAAGCAAGTGGTCTTTCTTAAGTATATGGGTTTTTTTTTTTGCCTCTGTCAAATATGATGACTGTAGATATGAGTACTCATATGTGGTGGGTCTTATACTTTATTATAGTGCTCTAGCTGTATCAATACCATATTGTTTTTTTTAGTTTTTTATTTTTTATATATTTGAATTACAAACAAGATTGAATGACATGACAATCCCAGTTCCCTTCTCCCTCCCTTCCTCCTCTACCACCCCCCCAACTAAAAT